CATATAGCATTCTTTTTTTTTATTAATTATCATAATATTGCGTCTGTGATAACGTAGAGACTACTGATATTAATTATTCCTAAATAATTTCTACATTCTTACGTGATTTTCACTAATGATTTTTATGACAATACGAGTTAAAATTATACCCAGATATATCAAATAGTTTACCCATACATGATGAGCATTTTTTATTTTTTTCGTGAATGTTCTAATTATTTAGAAAATATATTTAATATTATTACTATATAGTGCTATAACTAATACGTCCCGCTTTGAGCGGGGCAGTCTCTCTTTTAAGATTTTGTATGAAAGCAAAAAATGGCGTGAAAACATTGACTTACAAATAAATGGACGACGGGTCTAATACAAAAACCACGAAAAAAATGTCCCAAGTCAACCTATTCGAAATTTAAATTGTAATGTTATCGCAGTATCGCGCTGTCAGTAGAACAAATGAAGACTAAAGCGGAGTGTCGCGCTCTGTATACGATTTTAGCGCCTTACAAGTGCGGACACTTTTTAGCGCGGACCCGACGTCCATATAATTGTAAGTCAATGCGCGAAAACGAAAAATTTATAATATATTAGCCAGCCCACCAGACTACACAAGATTACTTAGTTCTTTTTTAAATTTTTGATCTTTACACATTTTTAGTTTTTTTTTCTAAATTGTCTAATCATTAAACATTTAAATAGAAAACCCACGTGTGTCTCAAACATATTAACTACAATCTCAGTACAGAGTACTAAAAAAACTGACCTCAAAAGTACGTGGAATTATCGTCTATTTGCTAAGTTTTATTGAAATATCCCCTAGTTCGCCACTATACAGGATTTGACACAGGAGGTAATAAAAATCGGTTCTCACTACTCAAAGAATATTGAGAGAAAATCGCCTTGTATTGGAGAAATAGCAAAATCAACCATTAACATAACTGCTCCTTAAGTAAAATTTAGGCGCTATTTATAAAAATGAATCATATAAAAATAAATTCATGCGTGAACAACCACCCTTCGAGGTGGATGATGTTCTTCAAAATTAAATGGGACCACTATGGAAGTACCCCTTTCCAACAAAAAAAGAATCATGAAAATCGGTTCACAAATACCGGAGTTATCGCGTAACATACATACAAAAAAACATGCAGCCGCATTGAGACCCTCCTCCTTTTTTGAAGTCGGTTAAAAATAACGGACAACGTGTTTCCGTCGAGTCACCACCTCGGAATGTCATGATTAAGAGCCACGAATTGGTTCGAAACATGTCAAAAATTCGAATGAAATACGTGAGTTATCCGTTATTTTAGTTAATACACATTGACTTACAAATAAATGGACGACGGGTCTAATACAAAAACCACGAAAAAAATGTCACAAGTCAACCTATTTAAACGTAGTGACATGTAAAGGAATATGAAAAAGCTAAAACGTTAGATTTAAATTGTAATGTCATCGCAGTACTGTCTAATTTTGCTTGCTTCGCTGTCAGTCGAACAAACGAAGACTAAAGCGTGAATGACGCTCTGTATACGATTTTAACGCCCTATAAGTTCGGACACTTTTTAGCGCGGACCCGACGTCCATATAATTGTAAGTCAATGTTAATACATCAAACATTTCGTAGCATGTTCGTAACTATCATGTTTTACTTTTAAAACAGTAATGAATTGACAGGCGTCCCACTCTGGGGGAAAAAATAATGGTCACGTTATGTAGTGAGCAAATACTTACCTTAACCATGGTACCCGCCACCGCCACCGCCACCGCTGCCAGACATAGAGCTAGCACTAGCCGAGGACTTCGAGTAAGATTGGGAGTTCCCCAAAGGCATTGCAATTAAACCTCCGTACGCTGGGCCCCCTAAGCCCCCGCCATCATATCCGCCGCCTCCGTATCCATTTAACCCATGGTGGTAGTGCCTTTTCAAGCGCTGTGGTCCCTTCCTCTCATGGCCGCCTTGATTATCTTTATCACCATTATTATATCCGCCATCTCCTTCATATCCGGAACCTCCTCCTGATAAATTACAAATACAATATTATAGAACATAGATTCATGAAAGTTGATGCGCATTAAATTCGTACACCGTAATTCTATAACTTGTATAACCTTCTGGTCCGCGTTCATGGCCACTTGGCGCTGCTAGGCAAACAGCCACCAAAGCCAGAAGCACTGATATCGCCAGCTTTGCCATGCTGCAGTCGATCCTGTGGACTGTGGCCTGTCGCGAACAACACGACGTTTTATACAACACCCATGTCACGCTGAAAAGTGTCCACTCATCCCGGCCGTGTTTACGCCAAAATCGATGAATTGAGAAATTGCTATTGTCATTCCTTTTTTGCGTCCCTTGTCACAAGAACGCGCTGTGGAGCTCAGTTTTTGCTAATTCCTATAACACTGTGTCATCGACCCGACATCCCTAGCTTATTTTTCCTGTGCTTCGAAAAAATTCTATTGTCAATCATCATGTCTATACGCAGGGACTTTACTCTGCCGCTATCGGAGGAAAATGGCCTCCACATTTTTACCTACTTCAAAAAAGGAAGAAGTTCTTAATTGGACTGTAATTTTTTTTGTATGTTATAACTCCGTGATAACTCCGGCCGACATTTGTGAACCGATTTTGATGTTTTTTTTTTGTTGGAAAGAGGATACCTCGGTATTGGTCCGGTTAAATTTGAAGAAAATATTAGACCTTTTTTGGTAGAGGTGGATGAACACGGTTTCGCGTACTTTCCGGTAACCGATTTCAGTAAAACTTGGCAAATAGACGTAATTCCACGACCTTTTAAAGCCGGTTTTTTTTATAAAACGTTATAATCTTAACTTTGAACATTTTACGACCAAATACCAATTCATCTACCTACTTCCGATAATATTATTTCAACGAGATCAACTTTTAAATTACACCATTTGCATATGAGTATAACTCCGTGAAGAAATAATATACCAATACATTATTTTCTACTTGACTAATTTTGTGAAATAATCTTCAGAACCAAAAGATACCCATGATAGAAAAACTTTCATAGCACTATTTACGTATATTTGTGACCATGGGACCTGTAAAGGGCTCGAAACGTCGGTTTGTTCGAAAAAACAAATATACGCGATGTACATTCGGAAAAATAGTTTCATTTCCTATGTGTAACAATCGCGAAAACCTAAGAACTCGATAAACCTGATATCAATCAAATTTAGTAGCAGTAGAGCTCGGTAGAGACCTTAACTGTTTCAGCCGTCAATCTGTAATATGAGCGTTACTGCGTACTAGTCAAAAATAGCAAGGGTGCTTGTTAAATTACAAGCACATAGGACTTGTAAACTTACCTATATGCCAGGGTGAAGGGCTCAGTGGTAGTACCCCTAAGATCTTTGTGATTTAAAGCTTTGAATGGCACTGCAACTGATATGGATAGGCGTGTCGCTTACCACCAGGCGCACGACTTGTACGTCCCGTCACTTGGTATTATAAAAATAAAGTCATGTTCGTGTAAGATTCGAACATTTACGCACATGACAACTAACATAGTATTACCACAAAATTGCTTATTTAATTTAAAAAAGCGACATTGTTGTTCAGTAACTTGGATATTGAATCGTATACGAATGACGTGCAAAGGTAGCGAAATTTTGGAGATAAATTATTAATATAACGCAATTTTTAGATAAAATATAGTACAACGCAATTTTTGAGATAATACTCGACGTTATACTACGAAAGCCAATTATCTGGAATTTTCGCAGAAACTGAGTTAATTTAGGAAAACGCGACAAAATTACTTATGTAAAATGCAAACATTTTAATAGTTTGGTAAAACATAAAATGTGAAATCACCGTTACAAATTAACGTGGGATTACCATGGTATGCAAGTCCACGAAAAAATCGTCGTCAATATTTCAATTGCATTTATTTGAAAATTGATATTTTTAGAAATAATTGTTTTTCCCTGCATAACGTCGCTATGTCAGATGTCAAGTGCGATTTGTGTTACCAGAGATTAAAATACGCAGAGATTATTTACCTTAACTATGAATAGTAAGTATCTAGTATCTACACATAAAATATGATAATGGATACCTCCCTCTGACATCCAGGAACGATAAAAATTAAAGGGCAAATACTTGAAATACTTATAGCAAAATAGTTAAATTTTTATTAACGATTATAGAACTTTCCTTCTGAAAGTACTACTATAATTGCTAGTTACACAATACAACATGAACCAAATACATTACAATAATTCCGGGATGAACGAAATACAATGCAATAATTCGGGATTTTCAGAGGGAGGTTGACTAGGGCTCACACTGGCGTTGAGGCGTCTGACGCCTCACTGCGCTCAAGTGCGCGAAGTCCCTTCGACTGCATTCAAGCGTCGACGCCATAACATAACATAACACAAATTTGTACCTTAATAATGGGAAAATAGAGATGAATATACTATAGTCGAAAAGCATGATGCGTCGCGACGCTACGACTTTATGCCAGTGTGAGTTGAGCCTTTGCTTGCTTGTACCGACATCTGGTTGTAACTGATTTCCAAGGATTGAGGGTTTTAATTTGAAATTTGCCATGAACTTTTCGATGAAGGAAAACATCATGATTTAACCTGCACGTCGAAGAAGGTTCCCGACCCCCGGAAAACGTGTGAAATCTGCAACCCACATTGGGCTAGCGCTGCAGAATATGGATGTATAAATGGGTTGATGTTTTGGAGGTTTTAAACTCAGTGGCTGGGCAGCCGTCTAAAAGCATTACATTGAAACCGATTGCATCATTCGACCGACACGCTTTAACGAAACAATAGTGGCCGTGTGAACTCACGCTAGGTATACAAATCGGAATAAAATGGAATAAAATGCGTACAAAAGAATACTGCAATCTATATACTGTTCGATTCAAATACGCCTACAGCTGCGTACAGGACTTCTGTAACGTTTTTAATCCAGAGTGTGATTCCTGGTAAAAGGCAGTAGAGCTTCTTATATAAGAGTTCGTCCAGGGAAGTACAAGCCACCTATTTCCGCCGCCAAGCAGTAATGTGAGCATTACTGCGTTCCGGTTTCGAAGGGTGCTGGTGAAATTACAGGCACATGGGGCTTATCAACTTACGTTTCACGGTGAAGGGCGCAGTGGCAGTGCCCCTCAGATCTTTGCGATTTATAGCTTACTTACAGGCACGCGTCTTGTTCGTCCCGTCGCTTGATATCATGAAAAAAAATCCGTGCATTTCTAAAAAGTGAATAACAATTAAATAAGGGAACAGCATCACCGTCAGTATTTTTGTTTACAACTTTTCGGCCAAACACGGAAATCACCTCTGTAACTTCTGCGCTATTAAGCGCAGGCCACACCGAACGAAGCTAAGCTAACTTAGCTTAGCTCACGTATAGCCGGGGCATCTATTCGTACTTTGTTTCACACCGCGAACTTACTTAGTTAACTGAAGCTAACCGAGCTAACGTCCGTATTTGTACGACTCATGCGATAGCCATGGTAACATCTACCCATTGTCATCTTACGAATGTAACACAAAAGTTGCCGAGTGGCTACGAAACGTATCCTACGAGGACACTGAAAAACTCCTTAGCGTAACTGATTAACCTCACGCGTTATATATACAATTTGATAGAAATCCCAAGAATGACCTTTATTTATTTTTCATTCATCCCTCACGCACGCACACACGCACAGACGCTCAGACGCACAGACGCACAGGCGCACAGGCGCACAGGCGCACAGGCGCACAGGCAGAATTAGTGCAAATTTTTATCTGTTGCTATAAGAGTTTGTACGGCCGCCATATTTAAAAATGGCGAAAAACCAATTTTGATCACAAATTATTATCAATCACTCCTAGAGATCCCCATATGCCAATTTTCAAAGGGATATGAGCAATTTTTTTCTGCCGCCGCCGAACGCTTCTATGAAGGCCATATTTGAAAATAGCGAAAAACAAATTTTGAGCACAAATTATTATCCCGCCGGCATTTCTAGTGGCCTTCACATGCCAATTTTCAGTCGAATCAGAGCAAATCTCTTTCGGCAGCTATTTTTTACGAAAAAAACAGTTATATGGCAGCCATATTAAAAAATGGCGAAAATAAATTTTTTAGACCTCAAATTATGATTAAGGATTTCCAAAAGCCAATTTTCAGCCGGATCGAAGCAAGTTTTTCTTCGGCCGCCATTTTGAAATCGCCATCTTGAATTTTATTTAACCCAGGCAGTTGACCAGTGTTACCCTCTATGACATTCCTTCGAGCACCTCCTACCTATCTCTAATAGTAACCGTGATATTTGAAATTTGTACGGCATCTTGTTTATTTGAATTTCGAACATTTTTTACTTCCCGCAGAAATTGACTAAGGTGTACTTCATAAAAATGCACAAATATTCACTCCATATATTATAGTTTTTGGTGGCCGTTGATCACTTTTTCATATTTTCCATATTCAGGTCCTCTTATATTTGATTCTTTGTTTTGGAGCCTATCCGCGTACAACGGTATAAATATTTTTTTCCACCATATCGGAAAGTATGCGTTCTATTTCTGTCAGTGAGTAAGAACTTGTAACTTTATATTAGGGGTTAAAGTATGAAATTGCCATTTTATTGCAATAGGTTCTTTGAATTTTCATAGAATCTTCATGGTTTGAGGTTTTCGAATGAAACTTTTTTCAAATGGTTTCTGTGATTTTTTTTTTAAATTTGAAACATTTGAATATCGACTTTCAATTGTTTTTGTTATTCAATTTAGACAAGAAAGATGGATACTGCGAAAATTCGAGTGATTTTTGAATACGAGTTCCGACGCGGAACTAACGCGGCAGAAACAGCCCGCAATATCAATGCTGCGTTTGGAGAGGGGTCTACTAATGAACGCACCGTGCGATTTTGGTTTAAACGCTTTCGTGATGGAAATTTCGACTTAAAGAACGAGGCACGAGGAAGACCGCCCACACAGGTGAATAACGATGAATTAAGAGAGATAGTGGAAGCCGATCCTAGTCAAACTACCCAGGAATTAGCGGCATGGTTTAACGTTACCTTACCCACAATATTGACTCACTTGCGTCAAATCAATAAAACAAAAAAATACGAAAAATGGGTGCCTCATGATTTGACTGATCTGCAGAAAGAAACGCGTGTTGAAACTTGTGTTGCCTTGTTGAACCGGTACAGAAATGAAGGAATATTGGA